ACCATGTGGAGGCAGGCTGCCCCCCTGCAGCCCATGGAGGTCCACGGTGGAGCAGATCTCCTCCTACAGCCTGTGGAGGACCCCACGGCAGAGCAGGTGGATGCCTGAAGGAGGCTGTGACCCCGTGGGAAGCCTGTGCTGGAGCAGGGTCCTGGCAGGACCTATGGACCCATGGATTGAGGAGCCCAGGCTGGAGCAGGTTTGCTGGCAGGGTTTGTGACCCCGCAGGGGACCCACGCTGGAGCAGTCTGTTCCTGAAAGACCGCCCCATGGAAGGGGCCCACGCTAGAGCAGTCTGTGAAGAATGGTAGCCTGTGGGAAGGACCGAGGTTGGAGAAGTTTGTGGAGGACTGTCTCCCATGGGAGAGACCCCATGCTGGAGCAGGGGAAGAGTGTGAGGAGTCCTCCCCGTGAGGAGGAAGGAGCGGCGGAGACAACGTGTGATGAACTGACTGCAACCCCCATTCCCCGTCCGCCCGCAACACTGTAGGGGGAGGAGGTAGAGAAATGGGGAGTAAAGTTGAGCCTGGGAAGAAGGGAGGGGTGGGGGGAAGGTATCTTAAGATTCAGGTTTTATTTCTCTTTACTCTACTATGATTTGATTGGTAATAAATTACACTAATTTCCCCAAGTTGAGTCTGTTTTGCCTGTGACAGTAATTGGTGAGTGATCTCTCCCTGTCCTTATCTCGACTCACGAGCCTTTTGTTATGTCTTCTCTCCCCTGTCCAGCTGAGGAGGGGGAGTGATAGAGTGGCTTTGGTGGGTGCTTGGCATCCAGCTAGGGTCAACCCACCACACATTCAAAAGTAATATTCTCTGTCTGGTACCTTTAATGGAATGCTGGGAAAAAAAATCTTGTCTCCTATTAGATGCCTACCTGTGAGGCAGAACCTGGAAAAACCTGTATGGACCTGGAGACACCTGTATTTTTGAATGAGAAATGGCAGGAGAAGGTTGTGCAGAAACTTAATGGTACATTCATAAATGTATAGAAATCGAGGGCATGGAACACTTAAGAGGTTTTCTTCCTTTTGAATTGCTGTGCAATGCGCTAACCACATCTTTAGAAAAAAATCATTATTGTGGTGGAAGGACATGAGGGAAGAGATTGGGGAGCATCTGTGATTTCTATGTGAACTCTTTCAAGTAACTGCTTTGCGTGTGAGCTAAAGGTTTATTCCATACTTTTGATAGAGACTGTCCCTTGGTGGAAGCATCTAGATCTGATGTGGTTCTAGGAAACGAAACACTGAGATCTTTACATAGGTGAACTGAGAGCCCACCTTCTATCAAATCATAACTTCCATGGGTAAAATACAGAAGGAAAGGACTCCAAGAAAGCTGCTTACCTTCCTGTAAATGGAGCCCTCTGAGGTACAATGGCAATAAATATATGCTGCAACTTGGCTTGCTGTCTTAATACTGAGGCATTTTGTAGGATCTGGACTGTTGGTGGCAAAAGAGCTGAGTGACAGGTGAGCTTGCTCTGGGAGCAGAGTGTGAGGGTATTCAGAAACCGTCCCAGTGGACAGTGTTGGCCAAAAGACTCTGATCTGGAGTAAAGATATGCATGGTCACTAAAAATGCTCCAGGGTGTAGTTGTCTACACATGGGTATCTCCATATGAACTAGGGGCCTTAATTCATACTATTATCAATGGGGGCTCAATTCAGTTGCCTACACATAGATGTCTTGTGCTGTTTTGGGTGGTCTGCCTACTCTAGCAGTGCAGGTTTCTTGAAGGTCTGCAGTATTATCTCCCACCTCCATATGGATGCCTTGGATGCTGGAGAGCATCTCAGATGTCACCATACTGTGTACATGCAACTGGTTTGAGCACTGAGATCTGTCGTTGTAGTCTGGAGAGCCATTCAGTTGATAAGGTCCAGGTGTCTACTTTAATGTGAGTGGACTCCAGCAGAGCTGAACTCTGTTACTGGCTTAGACATCTAGCTCACATGTAGACATGAACATTTAGACACCTACATTTAGGGTGGAATTTGTATCCAGACTGGGGACACCCAAGTGCAGATTACAAATGGATGAGTTTTAAGGTCTATGCTTTTCATAAGGTAAGTGGGTTTTTCAGTATCCCTCCTTTCCCCAGCTGTTCCCTAATCACTTGATCCTGCTTCTGTTACAAGACCTTCAATTGCTGTATTTAAATGTTTTTTGTAGGCTCTCATGTAGTTATGGAATGTAATATATCAAGTGGGATAAATGGCTTGATTCCATTCTGGCAAGTTAATGATGAGGATGTTGATAGCTTTGATAGCACCTACAGGGAACAGTTTTATGAGTAAGTATCCTTATACATTGAATTGTAAGTGCATTTCTAGGTGAAGTAACCTGCAGTAATTTGCAGTGAATTCGCCATAAAGTTGACTACTAGTCAAATGTCAGTAGTCATTGAAAGACTGATTAGAAGTCTGCATCATGTACATTATACTCTTACTGCTTGGTTTTAAAAGAAAAAAGCATTTTATTATAAATACTGATGTATCTGATAAAAATGTAATGAAGCAATCATATGTAGGCTTTTATAATACTGTTGTGAAACATAGAATTTTGTAAGGCTTATTTATGCATTTGTTCTTATGCAATCCTTTTTGCTAATAGATTAAAGCCTGCCCTGTAGCATTAATATGGGAAGGATAGATTGTTCCAAGACAAAAAAATCACCCCAGTTATTTTTATTTGTGAAGTTGGTCCTTTTCTAAGTACAGACACAGCTGCTAATCCTCAAGGACACAAAGCAGAAGCTCTTGTTGCAGGACATTTAGGGTCTTCTTATGTTCGGGAAATTTAAACACAAATTAGGCTGATAAACCCAGCAATTTCTTTTGAGAGAGCAGGACCTTTGTTACTCAGTGACTGGTCTATGCTGTAGCAGAGTGTGGATATACTGTTTGCTGTCTCATTGTATCAATCACAGCTGTTAACTATAACCCCTAAAATGTAGTGTAAAGAAGAAAGGAAAAAAATCTCAGCTGATCAGTTCACACTCATGCAGAAGCATTGCCGTCTCCATGAAGTGCCATCATCAGTGCAAAATATGGCTAGAGAGTTATGTTGCAGACCGGTTTTAAAATTATCTTTTTCATTCCTCTGTATCTGACCTCCAGAAGGAATCTTAGTTCTGCTTTGTCCCCAGCTTCCTTTAGGGAAGGTGATTATATTTTCATTATAGGTGTTATACTTTCATTATAGAACTGTATACTTGTTGTTTGCCTGTAAATATTAGGGCCTCAGCTTATGGTGTCTAAGGCACAGCTAAGTCCATTATTTTTTAGGGCATGAATTTTGTCAGCTTCAACAGTTAAGACACATGTGCAGCTCTCTGTTTAAAGTTATTATAACTGCAGCTTCTTCTGAAACCAACTTGGTGCTGCTATTAAACACATCTTCCTGAAAAGTATTTAATATATTTAACTTAAAGCAATTCTATGTTAAGATTTTTGGCTTGCTTGGAAGTGATCTCCATTTCTAATCACTACCCTGCCTGATAATTTTCCCATATCAGAGATGGAGATGTGCGAAATACATCCTGTGCAAGTCCTAATTAGGATTAATAGTTCAAAGTTATCCAGTATCAGAGAAATTAATCTAATATTAATAATAATGTTTTATCTAAAAAAATAGTAGCAATTTCTCAGCAATTAAATTTGTGGAGCATTTGCTAGTAGCAAAGCACACTGTAGGCATGGCCAATGTTATGGACTTGAGGGCTTACACCTAGGAGGTAACTCTTCCTCTGCTGGGAGGAAAGTTAAAACTGAAAGGGATCTCCTGAGATTGTCTAGTCCAACCCCCCTTCTCAAGCAGGGTTGGATAGAGCAGGTTGCTCAGGGCTGTGTCCAGTTGGGTTTTGAATATCTCCACAGATGGAGACTTCACAGCTTCTCTGAGCAACCTGTTCCAGTGTTTGACCACCCTGACAATAAAAAAGTGTACAGATGGAATTTCAGATGTGAAAGCATTTCAGTTTGTGCTCATTGCCTCTTGTCCTGTCAGTGGGCACTACTGAAAGGAGCCTGGCTCCCTCTTCTCCACTCCCTCCCGTCAGGTATTTACACACATTGATAAGATTTCCCTACCCCCACCTGCACCTGAGCCTTCTCTTCTCCAGGCTGAACAGTCCCTGCTCTCTTGTATGGCAGATGATCCACTCCCTTAATCATTTTCACGGCCGTGCACTGGACTTGCTCCAGTAAATCCATCCATGTGTTATACTGGGAAGCCCAGAACTGGCCCCACTACTCCAGGTGTGACCGCACCAGTGCTGAGCAGAGGGGCAGGATCATCTCCCTCAGCCTGCTGGCAGGGTTCTTCTTAATGCAGTCCAGGGTGTCTGGGAACTGGTCATTCCTCCTCAGGTGCAGGATTTGCATTTTGCTTTTAATTTCATGAGGTTCCTGTCAGACAATTTCTACAGCCTGTCACGGTTCTTCTGGATGGCAGCATGACCCTCTGGTGTATCAGCCATCCCTTTGAGTTTTGTATTATCTGCAAAACTGCTAATGGTGTAGTCTGTCCCACCCAGAAAAAACAAACAAACTAACAAAACCCACCCAAAATCAAAACAACAACCCAATGTGTATGGAAAATGCCAAGTCACCTCTGGTCATGAAGCTGTTCCTTACAGGTTTATTGTGTTTATTGTGCTTCACTGGCTTTTTAGGTTTATAGAGGTAAAAAATGAATCTATCCTATATTAAGCACGGATATGTCAGTTTTTCTCTACAGATGTTTCCTTTTTACCCTTTTTTTTTTTTTTAAATGACAGAGAGGGGATGCCTCATGGACTTGCTGTATCTGGAACAAAATTTAACATTTCAGAAGTAAAAGTAAAGGATTATGCTCATAAATTTTTCTGTCACTTCATATATGCTTCTCAACAATTTACGGCCTACATCAAATTGGAACGCCCAGGTAAGAGATCTCATCTTGATAAAATGGTGATTAACGATGCTTACTTCTCACTTAGTTTGACAACACCCTACTTGGAGCTAAAACTGCGTGATGGACTGTTGTGCAGAGTGGGCAATGCAGCTCAATACCTTTCTTTGTGAATTTTTTGTCATATTCTTAGCAAAATTAAAGAAAATAGCACTTTTAATTTGCTTTGTCTTCTCTCATTCAGTATTTTAGGAAATACTAATGAAAGTCTCCAATTTATTTGAAGCAAGTATGAGACCTCAGTGTAATACTGTGGTTCATTTTACACAGTTGTACTTAAAGAAGGATGTGGATCAGAGGAGATCATGTGTCTAGAGGAGCAGTGAAAATTGCCAATTCTCTAAAAGAGCTGGGGGGGAAGACATAACTAAGTGTGGAAAAGACTGTCAAAAGGACATGAATGTGTATGCAGACCTGGTTGTCTTATCCTTCAGTAACAAGTAATGGGCTCAGATTGCCAGGAGAAAAAAAAAAATCTATTTATATAGTAGGAGAAAGTCTAACAGTGATGATAGTGAAGGAATGAAATAGATTGCTTGGAAAGGTTATGGACTTCCCATTACTGATGCATGTGCTGTGTTATCACCTTGTAGATAGGCTCATGCATGTTGATTGGGAGCATCCTGGCACTTGTTGGAGACCCCAGTCTTGTGCTCAGAGACAAGGATAAGTTTGACCTATTGCTGGCTAGCATGAAATTTTCTTTTTAGTAGATGAACTTAAAGGTAAAGTGAGCTTTAAAAACTCAAATGCAAGGCTGAAGAAGTTAATTCTTTTTATTTAAAAACAGATACACAGAAAAGCAAATCACTACATTTTTAAGTGCCCATTTTTTTCAATTTAGCTGCAGAAGAGCCTCTGGTCTATTGAGCTTGTATTGAGCTGGCTTTGTCAACTGTGAGGCAATCCTTTGGCAAATGTTATTCTCAAACTTACCTTTAACTAGCCACATTGTAAACAAATAATTGACTGAAAGTGGATCTGAGCTCTATCTTGTTACATAACTATAAGTTCTTCATAAAGATTGTCAGGGTAGGATTATAACCTCAGAAATCCTTTCATATGCATGAAATAAAAAAGGCAGTTTGTGGAGGGTGTTTGTTTGTTTTAAGGACAACAAATCTATTAAGCACAACAAATTAGTAGGTTCAATGACAGATCTTCGAAGAGGCTAGAGACAATGGAAAGCTGGTTGGTCTGGGGAGAATAACATGGTCAGGACATCGCCTCCCCACCTCTGACTTTCTTGCTTTCTGACTGATAAAATTTTGTACAAGGGTTCTTGCTCTACTGCTGCACTGTGATATACGTCAATATTTTGGTGTTTCAGCTGAAGAGTAGCCTCATTTGTCACATTGCTAAGGTATCTTTTCTCTGAAAGGTAAAAGTAGGCTTGTCAAATAACAGTATTTGCAGAAAGCATGCACGAAAAACTTTCAGTCCTATTCATTCATGCCTTTTTTTTTTTTAAAATATACTTTAATGACTAAACATTTTTGAACATATCTTTTGTCTTTCTCCAGTTCTAGTGTATAACTGTTTTGTTTTCTCTCTTCTTATTCCACTCTACTACAGCTCAGAACATTCAGCATTACTTAATTGGAGGAGGAGTTTCTTTGGTATTTTTAGTATTTTTTACTCTCTTTATCTACAAGATCTTCAAAATTGATATTGTGCTTTGGTATCGGGACTCCTGCCATCCCTTCCTGGGTAAAAAAGGTACATTTGTGTAACAGTGCTGTGTGTTGTAATGAGCCTCCACCTTCCCTTGCAAAGCAATGAGTTAACCTCATGGACTGTGATCAGTCTTCCTTGGGATTTTTGAAAGGATAACATGTTTTTAGGATGTATAGAATCAGTTGAGATAACAAAAGCATCTACAGGGCAAAAATCAGCAACTTTCCAGGAGTCCAGTACTATCATTCCTTTCCCTGAAGACCCACTTCAGTGGTTTGAATACTGTTCTGATAGCAGTTGTTCAGGCTTCTTTTAATTACCGTTCTTACAGAAAGCAGTAATACAGTGGAATTGTTGCGTGCTTTTTATTTTCCATAGACGAACCAGGACACATTTCACCATCTTTTGTTTTCTATTTGAAGGCACTTCTGATTATTTTACTCTCTGTAAATTCTTGGCATGCAGAAAAATGTTGATAGGGGTGCTGTCTATGGGAGTATGCTGAAGTATGGGTCATTTCCAAACATCTGAGAGGAGGTACATGGCTAGAGAAACAGAAAATATCTTCTAGAGGTATTGAAGTTCTGTAAGACTTCTTTGAAGTCTTTTAAATTTGGTCTTTCTGAAAAGTTTGTTCCAAAATATCTAACACAATTCAGACCTTGAAATTTGCCAAATCCTTTGGTTTTCTTTTTGTGTCTAAGCGGTTGCTGTGTTTTGAAACTGCAGGTTACAAAAATGACATATGAGTTATATGGCAGTCCGAATTTTAAGTATTCAGTTGTACTGCTTGAACCGCTATTTTCCAGATGACTGAGTAATAGCATTTTTTTATTTAGAGTTCAAAAAAGAATATTCAAATCTACTTAATTTTTCACGTCTCTCTTATCTATTCAGATCCAGCATACTGAATTCTAGAAGGCTTGATGCTGCAGATATTTCAGGCTTAGTATAATTATACATGTTTAGATAATAGCAGGATTAGGACCTAAAACAATGATTCAAGTGGGGAAAAAACAGAGTTTAGAGATTTTTGTTTGTTTGCTTGCTTGGTTTTGTGTCCTTAGAATCCATTTTTATATTACTCCTATCGCTCATTCTTTAGTTTCAGATGGGAAGATCTATGATGCTTATGTTCTGTATCCAAAGAACAGAGAGAGCTGCTTGTATTCATCAGATATTTTTGCTCTGAAGATACTGCCAGAGGTCTTAGAAAGACAGTGTGGATATAACCTCTTCATATTTGGGAGGGATGATTTACCAGGAGAAGGTAAGCTATCTGAAGACAAATTACACTTGAGTTTTCTCATTGGCAGCTGCAAATACAACTCAGAAACAGGCAGTCAATCGGATGTGATTCTAAATATCTCCCACCGTCGAATGAGCTATGATTTTCTTATTCTCTCTGATGGAGAACGACAAATACAGCACTGGATGTTCCCATGAAGTCTGCTTATCTCAGCCTTTCCCTTGTCATTATTTAGCTCTTCCAGTTTTTTCAATGTCTGGCTAACCTAGACATCTGGAGGTGGAAGGATGCTGAGGGGAAGAGGAGTTGAAATTGTGGTTGTGAATGATGACTAATGGCAGGAAACATGGAAAAGTAGGTCTCATGAGTGATGTGAAAAGAGCCCGTTGCTTCAAGGTGCCATTTGACAGGATGACCTCTCTACTATTTCATTTTTATTTACTCCGAGAATTGCTGTCAAACCAGTGGAATCCAATAAAGGGTATAATGCATGCTTAGACAGTGCAGATGGAAAAAAAAGAATACAAAGCAACACTAAATTATCAGGAACGATCAGCTGTATCAAAGACTACTTGTCCCTAGTGAAAGTTCTTACAAAGCATTGCCTTCCTTGCAAGGCTTTACAATCCTTGTGGAGGTTTTCTCTGTGTGCATATGTGCATTAAATTTAAATTTCTAGGATCTGACACTGAAAATTGCAAAGTCTGTCCCATTAACTGCTTATGTGAGGTGAAATGATGAGTCATCTGAATCCTTCCTGGTCTTACGGCTTTAAAAAGATAATACTGAGACTGAATAAGTTTGCAGACTAGGCCTTAAATAGAAGTTTTTGTTTTTTTAAAAAAAAACGGGTGTGAACAAACCTACATGAGGTGGTTTGTGGATCACTTTTTTACATCTGAAGGCTTTTGGCAGTGGTTTGAGAAGGAAGGGTCCCCTGAGAAGTAGAATCTGAAGTGCTGCTTTATTTTTCTAGCTTGAAAAAATGCAATAGTCTGTTCTAGGGTTAACCTGTATGGTTTTTGTGTGGTATTTACCGTATTTTGCTGGTTTAGAATTAATTGTCTGGAATGCCGTTGAAGGGAGGATTCTTTGCTTTCTCTTCCACTTACATGTAACAAAGAACAGTTAAGCATATCAGAACAAGCCGTTTAAGGAAAAAGGTCATAGTTTTATCTAGGCCTATGGTTTTGGACCTTTTTTTTTTGCAATTGTACCTATGATGATAATAAAATGGCATTAGCAGGATAAGTAGTAGATAGTTAGTAGCTCTTCTCTGTTCATGCAAAACAAGAATATAGACATGCAGTCTGATGGCGTCATTGTGTTGCATTGGCCAAATCTCTACTTGTTGGCTAGCCCAATGTAACTGCTTGCATGCTCTTATCCTGTCCCTGTTTGTGAGGTAAAGTGTGTTGGCTCAAGTATCAAACAGTGAATGAACCAGCTGCAACACGTTGGTAACAAAAATAATAGAAACACACAGCCTTAATTTTGCACAGCTTCT